ATCTTTCAGGGCTCCTTGCATCCCTGCCTCTCCTGCCTGCTGTCCCCTGTCCCACCGCACCAGCCCTCACTGAACTGCTTTGCTCTCTGGACCCTGCTCCCTGGTGCAGAAACCACGAAACTCAATCAGGATTTCAAATCTCCAGCACACTGCTGAGGTTCTTGCAATTTTTACTGTTCTCTGACAAATCAGCAGAACCTGATTATGAAAGCGTGACCTGTTTTGAAATAGAGTTTTCATTATTATTCAGGTATAACAGGGCCACAGGTCAGGAGACAGTGGTCCCTGAGCAGAGTCTATCACTCACAGTTCCCAAGAGAATGGGTCATGCTGCTGTGGGGGACACATGGCAGGCTCCAGGGTCTCTGTGGAGGCAGAAGGAGCAAGGGAAGCAGTGATCTGCAGCCCTTATTGTGGTTTCTGCCCAAAAGAAGTGAGGAGGGGTGAGCAGGCTTAAGATGGGCTAGTATGAATCATTTCAGGTCTCGGGGCTTAGGGGCTGCCCCTGGTGGTCTGGTTCCTAGCCCTGGGGTGATTGGGGCAGATGGAGAATAACCTGAAGGTAAGACACCCCACCCCCACCCCCAATGAAAGACATCCTTGTGGGGTGGGCTCTGGATTGGCTGGTTTGCCCAAGGAAGACATCCTGGGGGCCTCCTGTACCATCTCTAGGAACTGGCCAGCCTGGGAGCATGGGGCTTCAGTCCCTGCAGGGTCAGCAAAGCCTGAAGCTTCAGAATACAGAAAATAAGAGACAGGGTTCATGCGAGACCTCCTGGGAGAGGCCTCCTCTTAGGGGCCCAAGACAGTTCAGGATCCTAAGAGTTTACTGGACACCACTGGCTCCTGCCTCGTTTCCACCATGAGGGATATTGGACTGAACAGGAGCCCAGGGAGACCTGGTGTGGTGGTCAGCCGCGGTGTCTGGACACTTCCTGTGACCCTGTGGCAAGTTCACATGTGCCTCCCAGTCCCACAGACATGCCCCAGGTCTTAGAAGGAGGCTGTTCAGTGCAGGCATGTTTACAGATCTGAGAGCTTATTTGTCTTGGGCCATAATGAGAGCAGAAGCCTTTTAGGTTTGCAACATTTCTAAACAACTGTTGCAACCTTCCTCAGCCCAGAATGGCTGTTGGTAGGACAGAATATACTGTAGTTTTAGTGGAAAAAGAGAAAAAGACTAAATCAATTCTCCGTGGAAACTGCTAAAATAAACTCAGGATTAATGAGCAAAATTTGTTGGGGATGCCCATTTGTCACACTCAGGAAGCCACAATCTAATTTAACTTGCTGCTGTTCATTGCTCTTGCATTGCCATTCATTTGCTGAAGGCAAAACACATTATCTCTCAATGAACAGGAGTGGGCCCACATCCCCCTCCCCTTCCCTCCTCCAAACGGCCTGATGCCTGACTTCCTGTTGGGGAGAGGGAGGAGGGCAGGGGGTGTTCTTCCCAATGTCTTTTCCTTGGCTCACCAACAGAAACATTTTCTCTCAGTTCTAGAAGCTGAACATCCAGGGTGAAGGTGTTGCCAGGCCTGGTTTCTTCCAAGGCCTCTCTCTAGACCAGCAGATAGCTGCTCCTCTCTGTCTCCCCGTGGTCATCCCTTGGTCGGTGTTGTCTCTGTCGGAATTTCCTCTTAGAAGGACACCAGGCCTGTCGGGTGGGGGTACACCCATGTGACCTCACTTCAGCTTAATTACTCCTTTAAGACCCTGTCTGCAAGTCCAGCACCACCTCCCTCCCACTGGCCTATGAAAGTGGACAGATGCAGGGCTCTTGCAGGGGCGATGCAGTGGCCCTGGGTGGGTTTGCCCGCCGCACACAAGCCTGTGATTTGCATGTGCTGTGTGCTCAGTTGCTTCATTTGAGTCCGACTCTGTGTGACACCACGGACTGTAGCCCACCAGGCTCCTCTGTCCATGGGATTCTCCAGGCAAGAGTACTGGAGTGGGTTGTCATTCCCATCTGTAAATTAGGAGCAGGGGAAGGGAGGAAGGATGGGTCACTATGAGAAAATTGTGGTTGTATTTTTAACTTCCTCAGGAGACCTGTAAAATCAGTGCTTTCGTCGGGTTCTCCAGGACAGCGAGGCTGCTGTGGGTGCAGGTCAGTCTGTGGAAAGGTGACTGCTGCAAGCCCAGCTGTGCGATCTTATTGGGTGTGACTCTGCCAGGGGCTGAGCTGCCCAGCAGGCCCTGCGAAGCCCCCTCCCCCTCCTCCTCGTCACACTTCTCCCACCTCGTTCCCCAGATGGGACCTCAGAGTGGACGGGTCAACCCCGCTTGTCCTGTTCCCGGGAACCCTGGACCCAGCCTGCTGCCCAGTTGTAAGCACACCAACAATCAGGACAAACCAAATCCAGATGGTTTGTCTATATTATTTTTGTACCTGACAGTTTATGGGAAATGGGTCTTTATTTTTTCACTAAAGAAATGATGACTGTTTTCTTCAGTTGGGCATTTCGAGAGCCATTAGCATTTAATACTAATACTGGAACAGCAGGTCTCCACTGGAAATATTTACCTTTTCCTTGTTGGCAGCTTGTCAGTGTTGGGAAAACAGATGCTTAATTAAAACCTCGGTATGGCGTGCTTTCTTCCTCACACATCAGTCAGTCTTCCTCCAGGATGGAGGAGGAGCCATGTGAGAGATGTCGGGAAGCATTCTGGTCTTCTGTTTTTACGTACTTGGGGGGTGTCTCCTGGCATCTTGTTCCTGTTCAGACATTGGCATTCCACCACCCATCCCTGGCCTGGAGAGGCCTGAGTGCGGCAGGCTACTGTCACCACCTGGATGGCAGAACTGGTTTGGTTTTGGCTCTATGCGTGGCCAGCGGGGTCTCTTGCCCTGGAGAATCCATTGCTAAAGATAAGGACATGTCTGCTTTTTCTCAGAAAGCAGAGGGTATCAGGGCCTCATTGTTATATTATCCTTCCGACTGCACCAGCAGGTTTTGTGGAAAACATGGGCTCAGAGAGTGTGAGACCCTGGCCCAAGGCCAGACGCAGCTGGGATGTGATTCCACCCCGGGACTGTCTAGCCCCTGCTCTCTTCCCCCTGAAGCACTCTGCTCTTCATCTTGCCTTGGGGCTGCATCTTTGCCCCACGAAGCAGCCAGCATCCTGTACTGGTTGTGGCCCCTCCTCAGCTTTCATGGCTCCAAGAGTCCCAAGTTACCATCTGTGACACAGCCATAGAGACAGGGGCCCTGGACACACAGACCAGAGACCAGGAGGCATGGTTTTTGGGGCCATGCTGACTGCTCTCATCCCCCAGAAATCAGAAAGGAGAAAGTACAGCACGGGATGTTGGGGGGGTGGGGTTCATCCTCCACAGATGCTGACAAGCCCAAAGAAGATTTGGCTCTTACTCTATTCAAATAGAGAACCTCTATTTATCAAAAGACACCTTAAACAAAGTGAGAAGACAAGGCACCAACTGGGAGAAGGTATTTATAACATAAGTAACTGACAAAGGATGAATGCCCAGTGCACACTGTTATTTAAGCCTGCTTCCACTCATATTAAAGCACCCATTGTTAAGGCAATGGGATAAACTAATGCACATTTCTGAGTACTTTCCTGTGTGAGGGGCAGGCCTGGGTCAAGCCCTCAGGTGTTCAAGTTCATATTTTCCCAAGATGGAGGTTTACATGTGTCTGTTACTTTATTTAGCAGGCTTTGTAACTAAGTGTTCAAGTTCATATTTTCCCAAGATGGAGGTTTTCATGTGTCTGTTACTTTATTTAGCAGACTTTGTAACTAACGTGTGTACCAGGCTTTATTTAGTAGGCTTGTACCAGGCAATCCTTAATGTGTCAAATAGTAAATGTTTTAAAAATAAAGGTAAAAAGTAGTTATTGTTAACAACCCCTGGAGGTAGGTTCTACTGCCCCGGTTTTTACAGATAGGGTCAGACTAGCTGCTGACACAGTGGCCACTTACCGCGTGCCGGGCACGTTATATGAACCATTTTTTTTGATGTTTTGGCGCCTTAGCAGATGTGACAGCTTTCATCACTGCACATTACAGACATCAGAAGCTTAGGGAGATGATGTAGCCCCGTGGTCACTAACTGGTTGCAACAGGTGGTCAGGCAGGGTCTCCCTGGTGGCCTGCTGCATGTTCCCCCACCTCCCATGGGTGAGGGGCCGCCTCCCCAGGCCTCCTCTCTGGAGCTGGTGACGAGGTGTCTACCCCACCTCGTCCTGTGCCATCACATCCAGGCTTAAACGATGGTGGCAACCCCTCATCTTGCTACCAGGCACCCAAGGGTCCAAACCACTCGGGCAGCTATGACAAAATCCCGCAGACCAGGCGGCCCAGACCACAGGCCCTTCTGTCTCACAGCTCTGGGGGGCTGAAACCCAAGTTCAAGGTGCCAGCCCACTGCTTTCTCGTGAGGGCCCCGTAGCGTGGCAGCTGGCAGATGACCACCATCTGTGTCCTCATGCGGCAGAGGATATGGGAGGCACGCTCTTGCCATCTGTTCTCCTGAGTCTGCTAGTCCTGCCCTGGCCCCTCATGACCACATCCGAACCTCCTGAAAGGCCTGCCTCCAGATGTGCTGGCATGGGGTTAGGGGGTCAACCCTGAGCCTGGGGACACAAGCCTGCAGTCCATGGAGGGTGGAGAAGAAGGAGTAGGGAGCAGGCGGAGCCAGCAGGTGAAGCAGTTGGCGTTGGTGTCTGCTCACTGTTGAGGCTGTCCAGCCACAAGGAGCCAGCGTCTGGTGACCTCGGCCTTCTCTCAGGCCTCGGCCAGGGCCCATGTGGTTGTGGGCACCGTCGTTGAACCTGTGATTGTGCTCAGGTCTGAGTTCCTCTCGTTCTGCTGTGAATTTCTCTGATGTTGTGTTCAAGCAGGGTTTCCAGGCTGTCAGGGTGGGAGTTGCTAGTGGCTGGGGTCCCAGCTGAGTGTGGGGCCTGATGTACATGGGAACCCCGCCCACGAGGGGCCAGCATCCACACGGCTCTCACATCCGCCTGTGCTTTCAGGCATCCGAATGCTGGATGGAGATGTGACCGATGTGGTGGAGGCCAAGTCTCTGGGCACCAGACCCAATTACATCGACATCTACAGCGCCAGCTGGGGGCCGGACGATGATGGCAAGACGGTGGACGGGCCCGGCCGGCTGGCCAGACAGGCCTTCGAGCACGGCATCAGAAAGGTGTGGTGATCCAGAGCCACGGCGGGAGGGCAGGGTGAGGGGCAGGGTGAGGGCTCTCAACAATTAAAAACCAGAAAGAATAAAGAAGCCAAAAACATAATATTAAAAGCAATTCTACAAACCCAAGATGATCTTCTCTGCACATTGAAGGGCTCCGCTTCTCACCCTTTAAGAGATGAGTACAGGATCAGCTTCATGCTGGTTTGCAGTCTGTCTTATTAAGTAACCAACACAGAAGTAAGGAGAAATCTTGTCATGTAGGTAGCAGTGAATAAATTTTAGGGATGTCACTGGAGGTCCAGTGGTTAAGACTTCACACTTGCAATGTGGGGGCAGGGGTTCCATCCCTGATCAGGGAAGCAAGTCCCTACATGCCCCCCCAAAATTAAATAAATATATAAATAAATTTGAGGATCACACACACAGAGTCGGAGTGACTCAGGGAGAGCCCCAACAGGATGAGGTGGGACCAGGGCCAGAGCGAGGGAGAAGTCAAGTGGGGGCTCAGGGCAGCAGCCACCCACCAAACCAGAGCAGAGGGACGTCATCTCATTACAGAGTGGCTGCTCCCAAGGTACCTGCAGCTCATCTGCTAGCTCCAGGACTCTGCCTCACAGCCTGACAGCCCCCGGCTTGGGGTGTGCAGCTGGGTGGTGGGGGTCCTAGACTGACCGCCTGGCCTGTTAGTGGGGCTCTGTAGGTAGAAGGGTGTCTGGGACTCAGCCCACCTGCCCACAGGACCCCCATCCTGGAGCTCTCTGCATGCATCACAGGCTGTGTGCTCACCCCGCACCCCCAAGGCATCAGGTCTCCATGGTGCTCCCTCCCCACCAGTGTGCCACCCAGACATTTAGGGTGTCTGGGGTGGAGCCCACCAGGGGCTGTCAGAGCAAACAGATGAACATGGGCCCTAAACCTATTGGCCAAGGGGGGCAGAGGAGGACACCCCAGTCACTCTGTGGTCATCAGTTCTGGGTCCTTGTGAGTTAGGAAAGCTGCGGAAGAGAGGGTCCTAGAGACAACCTAGGTCTCACAAGGAGGAGGCACAGTGGATTTCTGGGTGAGGACAGCTTCCTGGAGCAGACACTGGCCTGTAGTCAGTGTCCTGGTGGCCCTGGGTGGCCAGGCAATGCCGGCGAGGTTAAAGCTGGAAGTCCAGGCCTCCCGAGGCAGGGTTTATGCCTCTGACTTCTCCTGTGGGAGATAGGATGGTGGGGCCAGGTCAAGCCCATTTTATTATTTATATACTTTTACCATATTTTTTAAGTTATTATTTTATTATAAACTGTGCACCATGATTAAAGTGTGGTCAATACATAGTTAACAAGTCAGATGGTACCAGTGGTTGTCCTGAAGGCAAGGCTTACCGCCCTCTGCACCCCACCCCGCCCCTCTCCATGGGCCCTTGTTGATGATTTCCTTTGTCTGAATAATACAGTCTGGTCACTTTTCTGGGTGTGCTGAGTTTGGTCACTTTCTATCTATTAATTCCCTTCTGTGAGGCTGGGGTGTTTGTCTCCTGGAACACCCCCAGCCTCAGACCCCATGGTCTAGTGGCTCCGGGCCACGAGATACTGTACAGAAGTGTGAGGCTTCTTACTCCGCCCTCTCTCCTCCCGGGTCGCTCAGGGCTTGAATGTCTGAGAAGTGAGTGACCAGAGTGGGGCTCCGTTCTCACGTCCCTCACAGCTCTGTGCTAACCCCGACGCTCGTGAGACAAAAGAAGAGGGGGACGGGTAGACATCAGAATGTCCACAGCTCACACTCAGGACACAGACGTCTTCCTCTGTCTTCACGACTCTGAGGAGATGTGCAGGCTCTTCAGTCAGCTCGGCGAGTGGCCGAGCTCACCGGGTGCTGGAGGTCAGGTGCAAGCACGTTAGCTGCTGCCAGATGCACAGATCTCATTGCCCCAATTTCCAGCATCCCTCATGTGCTGGGTCATGTGGATCTCACTCTTGACACCAAGGGAAACCTCTTAAAATTAGGTGTAAGTTAGAGACCACTTTTATTGAATGGAAGATGCTGCTTTTTAAAGATATTTTCTTTATTCACTTATTTGGTCGCACCGGGGCTAAGTTGTGGCACATGGGCGGTTTAGCTGCAGATGTGAGCTCTTAGCTGTAGCATGTAGGATGTAGTTCCCCAACCAGGGATCGAACCTGGGCCCCCTACATTGGGAGCATGGAGTCGGAGCCACTGGACCACCAGGGTCGTCCCTGAAGATGCTCTTTGAGAGGTGTGAATCCTGAGTGTCGGTCATTTCTATGAGATGATTTCTAAAGATTCTGAGAGCTGAGGACAGTCTGTTTCCAGGAGACGGGCTGGTTATCTTGGCCTGACCTCTCTTGGGTGTACAGGTGAGCTGTAGAGGGTGGAGTGTTGGGAGCTATGAGGGCTCCGCGTCCTGAGTTCTGAGCCATGCCAGCCTCATTCCGCCATCGGGAGTGCAGAAGCTGCAGTGGGACCACGTGGTTCCCACCACTCGTGTCAGTTTCCTGAGATACTGAGGTCATTTCATTGGGTTTTTTTTAGTCTTCCTGAATAAAATATGTCACATAGGGAGCCTTAAATTGCAACTGTCAGAAGCTGTCACTGATAATCCTCCTAGAAATTTGATGGTCTCAAACCAAACCACATTCTTCCATCTGTTTTCCTCTTTGATGCCCCACTTGTCACTTGTAGCCTCCCCTGTAAAACCTGACTGCATTCTTGGTAGATGGTGTGGGTTCTGGTAGGCACCATCAGACGCTGTACTTTAGTATAAAGAGGTGTTGGATATTGGTCCTCATGTGGCTGGTCACCCAGAAGGGGAGAGTCTACCACACTGTGGCTGAAGCCACTGGCCGGGTCCAGCGCCAGGCATTCACTAGCACTCCACATCCACAGGTGAGCCATCCGCTTCCCTGGCAAGATGTCAAAACACATTCTGAGGAGTGGAGGTGGTGTCTTCCTGAACAGAAGTGTGAGTTCACAACTGGGGTTGACACATCCTCACCCTAGAGCAGGGTCCCCGTCTCCAGGATCTGATGCCTGATGATCTGAGGTGGAGCTGATGTAATGATAATAGAAATACAGTGCACAATAAGTGTAATGTGCTTGAACCATCCCAAAACCACCCCCACCCCGGTCTGTGGAAAAATCATCTTCCATAAAACTGGTCCCTAGTGCCAAAAATGTTGGGGACCACTGCCCTAGAGCGTCCGTCCTGTGGCTTCCAGGTGAACAGAACATGTGGAAGGTGAACACACAGTCCTCAGAGACAGCTTGGACATTCCTTACACCTCAGCCCTGGGAGTTTCCTCTGCCCCGTTCCCATACTCTTTCCAGGAGACTGTTCTCAGAAGGGAGAGAGGCTCTGGACACCCTGACACCCATGAGAACTCAGGGGTCAGGGGTCCCTGCAAAGTGCAGAGTGAGGAGATGCAAGTCTTTGGCATTTAGGCCCCTGTTGTTTGCCGGCATCACTGGGGAGCTCATTAGAAACATGGACTTGGGCTTACCTGGACTAGCCAAGCCCATGCCTGCAATGTAGTGAGACCCAGGCATTTGTCCTCTCGTGAGCTGTGTATGTAGTGTGAGCAGTGTGGGCCATGTGAGTAGTGTGGGCGCTCATGAGTGTGAGCGATGTGAGCGGTGTGGGTGCTCACTAGTGTCAGCGGTGTGGACGCTTACAAGCGTGAGCTGTGTGAGCGGAATGGGCACTCACAAGTGTGAGTGGTGTAAACAGCATGGGTGCTCACAAGTGCAGGCCATGTGAGTGGTGTGGGTGCTCATGCGTATGGTATGGGTGGTCATGAGTGTGGGCGGTGTGAGCAGTGTGGGTGCTTATGAGTGTGGGCCGTGTGAGCAGTGTGGGCACTTACAAGTGTAAGCAGCACTCTGCAAAGCGGGAGCAGGAATGTAGCTCCCCCTGCCTTGAGTAACAATGGCCTTTGATCAGTAAACTGCAGTGTGGTGAGGACTGAAGGTGAAGGTGTCCAGAGGTGATTCTCATTAGAGAATCAGAGACAGGCTTTGATTAAATTTCATTCGGATTCTTGCTGCTTTGCATGAGCTTCGTGTGTGTTACTTGCACAGACAAACCCATGTCCTCAGTCCTTCTAGAGACTGCCCTTTGTGCTGACCATGGGCAGCCTCTCTGTTGGGCTCCTTGCCATTGGGACAGGTCTCCCCAGAGATGTGGGAACAAGAGTGAATGAGGGACCTTTGAGCTGGGGGCTGGGCTGTCTCTCAAGCCCCAGGTTGGAGCTGGCGGGGATGTTGGAGTGAAGACAAACTGGCACAAGAGGGCGGGCCCTGGGGTCCACTTGGGCCACATGTGGGGTGTCCTGGTGCCTCCGGAGCAGGTGGGTGCCTCAACCCAGGTGGCCTTGGGTGCTGGGGTCACATGTCCACATCCCATCAGAAACAGGGCTTCAGTCGGCTACCAGGGTTGCAGGATTCCTTTGAAAGCTTCCTTTAAATTGTCCAGTCATTGGGGAAATCCTGGGTTTCCTCCTGCATGTTTGGATAGGGGGGTGGGGGGTGTGCAGAGACTGGGGTGCCCGCCCATCTGGAGACAGGTGTTGGCTCTGCCCTCTGGGACCAGTTGCACCCACTAGCCTTTGGACCTGCCTTTGGACCAACAGGTCAGCTCCATCTGGCACTCGTGTGCTTGTTCAGCCAGTGTCTGTGGCTGAAGGAGCCTGGTTGGGCCTATGGGTGAGGATGGAGCTTGGCCAAGCTGGCAGTCTGAGTGCTTCAATGTTGGCCCTGTGGAGGCCCCAGGCCACTCTCCTAGGATGGCTGTGGGCATTCTGGCACCTGGCCCTTGTCCCATAGGTCCTGGGCCACCTGTTTTTCAAGGAGCTTGCTCCCCAGGAAGTGTGCATCTGCAGCTGGTTTTGTAGAACCTTCATCCCCTCCCTCTCAGGACTAGCTCTCACAATTCAGAAAAGTTAGATTCAGCCATCAGCTCCCACATCAGCGTACATGGGGTACAGTGTGGTGTTTATGACCATGGGTCGCTACAGAGGGAGGCACTGGCATGGCCCTGGGACAGGACAGGTCACGGGAGGGCCTTCATCTTCCCCTGAAGAGCAGGGAGGGCTCCTCAGTACCGTCCAGTCATTCTGCTGGGTCCAGAGTTTCACCAAGGACTCTGTTAATATCAAGAAGAAGCCCAGAAACCACACATTTGGGGCCCCCATCTGGTCCAAGTGCATCCTTCTGAGCTTCCTCCTGGGGGAGGTGTGCTGGAACCATGTCAGGAGCAGTGGTCCCCCTCACGGCCGCCATTCCCCAACACTGAGACCAGTCAGCGGGGGCGTCCAGTGAGGGCTGACACCTGTCCCCACCCTCCCATCCAGGGCCGGCAAGGCCTGGGCTCCATTTTTGTCTGGGCATCGGGGAATGGCGGCCGTGAAGGGGACCACTGTTCCTGCGATGGCTACACCAATAGTGTCTACACCATCTCCGTGAGCAGCACGACCGAGAACGGCCACAGGCCCTGGTACCTGGAGGAGTGTGCGTCCACCCTGGCCACCACCTACAGCAGCGGGGCCTTCTATGAGCGCAGAATCGTGAGTCTGGAGAAGGGTCTTGGGGGTGGGAGGGGGATGCTCCTGCCCCTGGTCTCATGAGTCCTCAGGGGCCCCAGGGAGTGGGGACTCTTGCTCTTGGTCCCATGAGTCCTCAGGGGGCCCTGGGGGGTAGGGTCTCCTGGTCATGGTCCCATGAGTCCAGAGGGGGTTCCCAGGGGGAAGGGCTCCTGCTCTTGGTCCCATGAGTCCTCCTGGGACCCGAGGGAGGGCAGGGTTCCTGGTCACAGTCCCAGGAGGCCGTTAAGGCAGTTTGGACCCAGCTGCAGCCAGCCTGGCCATCAGGGAACTGGTTGTGCCTGGAGGTAAACCCCAGACCCTTGGCAGCCTCCCTCCGACCCTGCCTTTCTAATTTTGGCGCAGAATATCAATTAAAACCCTCTCTGGCTCTGGGGGTCTAAAAATACCCTTAAGAATGGGGTGCATTCTCACCACAGTGTCTTTTTTTAGCTTTCTAAATTCTGCGGCCACATTGCTTGGGGTCCAACTGGCCCGTTTAGTTTCAACATGTAAAACAGAAGGAGAGAAAGTCTTGGCTCTATACTGAAACGTTTTAGAAATCCGAGTGTCTTGGGTGTTCCCTACCTCACAAAAGGACTTTTCCACACCCTCTAGGTTGAGAGTGGTTTTCTGTCTGCTGCAGTGGCTTCAATGAACATAAATCAGTGTGGTTTATCTTTTAAAAATAGCTTTTACTTTAGTGTATGGGTGAAGTTCATGCTTGTTCCTTCCCCAGGTGCTTTCATACTTTAAAAAAGGTAGGAGGGGAGGGTTTCAAGTTGAAGTCAATGCAGAATTCAAGTGCACAGTCCTTAGGATGGTTTTTAGATGTCTAAAAAATGAGACCTTGGAGCTGGCCAGGCGTGGTTTAACCTGAAAACTCCCTGGCGTCTTTTCATTTCTCCTGCTGCCTGGCCACATCTGTAGATGTTATTTGCAGGCACATTTTTACACTTTCCTGAAGGAGCCTGAGGCTTCCCATTGCCCACTGTCCTCTGCAGCACCGGGAGGATCAACGGTCCTCCTGCTGCCAGCCTGGCATTGGCCTCGGCCGGCTCACAAAAGTACTCATTAAGTTGTTACTTTCCTTTCTGCTGGAACACGCATCCCTGGGATGGTGCTGAGATGCTGAATGGTGTCCTGTTGCTTTAAATATCTAGCTGGTTTGAGCATGGACTTAGGACCTGTCAGAGGCCTGGGCTGGAGTAGGGGGATGGTGCGTGTGAGGGGGCCCCATCCCTGGGAGCAAGGCTTGCAGTTCTGTGTGCTTAATGAGTCACACAGCCGGTGCATGTGTGTGTTTATGTGCGTGTGTGTGTGTGTGTGTGTGTGTGTGTGTACATGCACAAGCATACACCTTAGCTACAGAATGCCTTAATTTCTGCGTCTCTTCATAAAGAATTCTCTGAGCCCTGACGTTCGGTAACTGGGTGTCGCTGGGCGGAGGGCAGAGGAGAAAACAGTGGGCAGCAGCTGTCCAGGGCCCTTCCCTGGTAGCACAGGTGCCAGGTGATTTTGTTTCAACTCAGCCAAGGCAAGGTGTTTGCTGAGTCCCTTAGAGACCCTGCCAGGGGGCGCGCCCTGTGCTGGATGCTCAGCAGCTTGTGTCTGTGTTCGGGCAGGCATCCAACAGCAAGTGTAGCTTGGGCCCCTGTCGCTCTCGTGCACCGAGTGCCGACGGCAACGACTGCCTGGTGCTGAGGCAGCACCTCTCCCTCCTTCACACTCTTGTTAACACGGCCACACCACGTCTCAGCAGCACAGAGGGTCTCAGGAGGGGGCGGCCCACCCTGGCTCCACTATCCCCTTCTGCTAGCCAGGGGAGGCTCCTCTGCTCACACCCTTTTCTCTGAGGCTGCAGAGCCAGCCCCAGGCCTGCCCTGCTCTCAGGAGCTCGGTCTTCTGTCCAGACACCCCCATTTTCCTCCGGCCACTTTGGACTGAGCACAAGCATGTGCCAGGCACCAGTGTTGCTTCTCCAGCAGCCCTGGGAAGGGCGTGTCAGTAGCCCATTGGCAGGAGGATCCTGGGGTCACAGAGAGTGCAGCCTCCTCGCGGCTCCCTGCCCTCCCCAGGGTTGAGGAGAGGAAGTAAGCTGGTCCCTGCCAGTACCCCGTGAGTCTTCCTAGGTGTGTGATCCGCACAGGCTCCCTCTCTTGGGGTGATGGTTGGCCTTGCTGCGCCCTGACGAAGGAAAGACACTCTGTAAGAGGCTCCGGACTTTTCCCACAGGGGAAATTCTTTCTCAGGGATTTGCAGATGGGTGACTGGAGCCTGGCAGTTGCAGGTATGTTAGTCTCCTGTTGGCACCATAACAAATGATCCCAAGATTCCCAGCTGGAAACAGCACAGCTGGGCCATCTCACAGCTCTGGGGGCACAAATGCAGCAGCCTCCATGGGCCCATTTTCTAGGCCTCACAAGGCTGAGTCCAGGTGTCAGCTGGGCTGCTTGTTTTCCATAGGCTCAACAGGAGGGCCTGTCCAGTATGCGTCCCACATGTTGGCAGACCTCAGTTGCTTGTGGTTTTAGGACTGAGCTCCCATCTCCTCATGGGCTGGCTGCCAAGGCCAGTTCCTGGCTGCTGTGGGCCACCCACCTTCCTGACTTGCATCCCCAGCGTCCTCTCTAAAGCCAGCAGCATAGATCAAGTCCTTCTTGAGCCACGTCTCTCTGACAGATGTAAGGGCCTGTGATTACATCGGGCCTGCTGGATCATCCAGGATAAACCCCTGACCTAACAGTTGGCTGGGTGGCAGCCTTCACTCCATTTGCACTAGTATGAGGGTCACTGCAGGGCCAGCACCCCTCCTAGCACAATAGATGTCTCCTACCTGTGCCTAAGTGAGGTCACCACCTCAGTTCAGGGGGGTGCAGTCAGGCCGTGCTATGGTGAGACTCAGAGTCTGCGCCCTGACCGAGGGTGCTCCGCGTGTAGCTCTTGCAGCAGACAGGGTGGGGGCTTTGGAACACTGCCAGCCATGAGGAGGACATCCTGGTAGGGGTGGTCTGTGACTTCTGACCCATCCCCGGCCTCTGGCTCACAGCAGAGATGCTCTCTAGACCACCTGGCACCTGCATGTCTTTCACGCTGCTCTGAAGTTGGGGCGACTTGGGGGTCATTGATGGGGACCCTGGCAAGGAGTCTTGCTGTGGATGCCCCTCTGTTTCATTCTGTCTCTCCATGGAGTCTCAGGGTGCATCTGCAGAGGTGTGGGTGTGTAGCTGGGACCCCATCTCCCCACTACACTATCAGCCTGTTGCTGGGGGTGCCAGACCCATGGAAACCTCTGTCCCTGAGATGTGTCTGCATAGCACCTCTTCCGTCCCTGAGTCAAAGTTATCCTGCCCAGGGCAGTGTCCTGAGCAGCCTCTGACCCAGCTGCTTGCTGCCCCCCCACCCAGGTGACCACGGACCTGCGTCAGCGCTGCACAGATGGCCACACCGGGACCTCCGTCTCGGCCCCCATGGTTGCCGGCATCATCGCCTTGGCCTTGGAAGCAAAGTAAGTTCTCACTTGTCTTCCCTTCTTTACCTTTCTTTTTTCTTCTTTTTTTTAAAAAAGATGTTTAATGTATCAAAATACACATAATGTAAAATTTTAAGTGTGTAGTTGATGAAGTATATTCATTGTTGTATGACCATCTCTACCACCCCCTGCGGGATGTCCCTCTCTGTCCAGCCAGCTCCTGTCCCCAGGAGACAGCTCTGCCACAACAAAACACACAGAGAGAGCTTAGACAGGAGATATTCCTAGACTGGATATTCATAGTCCCAGGGCCAGAGGTCTAAGGCTGAATGTCGCAGGGCTGGTTTCCTCTGAGGCCTCTCTCCTTGGTGTGTCACCTTCCCTCCATGTGCTCACGCAGCCTTCTTTGTGCGTGTGTGTTTGTTGTTCAGTCACTTAGTCATGTCTGACCCTTTGCGACCCCATGGACTGTAGCGCATCAGGCTTCCTTGTCATGTATGTGTTTAGATCCTTTGATAAGGACGACAGTTACAATGGATCAGGGCCCACCGTATGGACCCCATTTCACCTTAACAACTTCTTTATGATCCCATCTCCATGGGCAGTTACATCTGAGGTCCTGGGATTCTGGCTTCCTCGTGTGACTTTGGGGAAGGGACACAGCTGGTAACCACAGCTGTGTTCTCTGTCTTCGAGTCTGACTCCTCTGGGCCTTCAGATGAATGGAGTCACAGAGTGTTTGCCCGTCACTCAGCACAATGTCTCCCAGGTTTGCCCATGTCACAGCAGATGTCAGGATGTCTTCCTTTTTCAGGCCGTCCTTACGAGTCAAGAGGCTCCTTCCTGTCTCTCCCTTTTTCAAGCTCACAGCCTCCTGCCTTCATAGGGGCACAGGAAGCTGGTGGGTACAAACCTCAAGCCTGCACCACACCCCAGATCACACTTTAGGTCAATACAGCTGCCCTCTGTCAAGGGAGTTCATGAGTGGTGATGATTTATCTGCTTCAAGCCACATAAAAACCCCAAAATTGCCATGTGTTGGATAGGTCCACTTTGCATATGGTCATGGGATCAAAACAGGTTTTAGTTTAAACATCAACAATGGCCCCCAACAACAACCTATGCCTTTGAAGGAGTCATTTGCTGCAGATAAGATTGTAAGAAGTTGTGTTTGGGTTGCTGAGTCCATCTAATTATGTGTGTTTTGCTTGTTGATTTGCATCAGGAGAAAGAGAATAAAGCTCAAATGCTACCCATTTAACAAAGAAATAGGTATGTTTGATTTTCAGGCCAAAATGTCAACTCTGTGTCCTGGGGCTCATTTTAAAAATACTAAATAGTTATTTGTGTAGAAAGTTGCATTCACATACTTAGTAATTCATTGTTTTATATTTTCTCTCCTCCCTTTTTGGAAATGTGGAAGGAATTTTATTAGTTGAGGATGCATAGAAAACAAGCCCTGTTTTGTGCCACTCGTTCCATTAAACCTGGCCTATGGACTCATGAACTCCCTGATTGGTATCTCCTCATCATTGTAGCCCATCCTCAGAATTTTACAGATGGCAGGCATCATTGGACACAGTGTCCACTTAGAGCGTCTAAGTGCAAGGGTTGGTCAAGGGAGGAAGGAGTTATAATGGGCATGCTGCCAGCCTCAGCTGAGGGGATTTGCAGGCTCCAGGGCCAGGACCGCTGCTCATGTGTGCAATGTCTTCCTGGCAAAGCCAGGTCGCCCAGGAGAGGAGAGAAACTCTCCTGCAGGAGGCCAGCAGGCAGCAAGTGACAGGATGAAGGAAGAGCCAGAGTGTGTGAGAACCGCCCCAAGGGTCAGCAGGGAGTTCAGGGCCATCTTGGAATGTCACATCAGTCCCTTCTTCATGAGAAACCATGTCCAACCCCATTTCTTAGATATGTTTCCATACAACTGTGAGTGTGATTTTATTACTATCATCAGAAAAGAGGTGGGTTTCCCCCTAGGAAAATAGTTTCTCACAGCCTCCCTTTCTGGACCCTCTGTCGTCACCACTGAAGCCCAGGCTTCCTGGTGCCTTATGCTAAGCTTCCGGGCGAGGGGAGGCATTCTGCATCCTTGCGGACCCCATGGTCATGAGCAGGGACCAGCCCAAACAAGCAAGGATGGGGCTGTGGCGGCATCTGCCATCTGGACTGCAGAGCCTGTGCCTGGCCTTTCTGTTAAGGGGAGCAGTCTGTGCCCAACGTCACCACCAGAGGGCGTGGTCTGCCCCTTCTCCACTAGAGGGCGTGGCCTGTCCCCTCTCCACCAGAGGGCGTGGTCTGCCCCCCTCTCCACCAGAGGGCATGGTCCGTGCCTGGTCTCTCCACCAGAGGGTGCAGCCTGTGCCGCCCTCTCTGCCGAAGGGCATGACCTGTGTCCCCTCTCCACCAGAGGGCATGGTCTGTGCCTGACCTCTCCTTCAGGGGGCGTGGCCTATCCCTAAACTCTCCAGCTGCGGTCATGTCCTGCAACCGGCCTCTCTTTCAGAGGTGTGGTCTGTACCCACCTCTTTGCCAGAGGATGTGGCCCTGGCCATCTGGGGCCGCAGGTTCTCCTCTGACAGTGAGGCTGGCTGTGGTCCTCAAGTGGGGCCATGGGTGAGCAGGTCAGCTTGTGCCAAGGAAAGTCTGGAAACTGGACCGATGGAAGCAGTTGCAATGAGGCAGCCAGGAGGCCAATATCTGGCCAGGGACAAGCACAGTAGAGAGAATGTGGTGAAGTCAGGGGAGGCCAGGGCTAGGACCGGGGAGTGAGAGCCCCCAGAGAGGAGGACAGCCCACCAGGACCCAAGCTACAGATGAGTGTCTCGGAGGAAAGCAGGTAAAGAGGGGACATTTGTTGGGAAAGTAAAACAGTGCAGCTGCTGTTAGAATAACTGTAATGGCTCCTCAAAAAAATTAAAGAATTATCATGTGATCCAACAATTACACTTGTGGGTGTGCACCCACAGGGATTAAAAGCAGGGGCTCAAAGAAATGTTTTTATGGCCATGTTCCTAGTAGCGTTACTCAATAGCAAAAGGAGGAAGTGCCTCAGGCATCCATCAATAGGTTAGTGTGGTCTGTGCAGCCATGGAATGTAGTTCAGCTTGAGAAGGGAGACCTGACCCCTGCAGCAGCGAGGGCATCACACTGCATGAACTAAGTCAGTCACAGAGGGTCAAATCCCACATGACTCCACTTATGTGAGGCACCTGGAGTCCTCAGATTCACAGAGATGGAAGGTGGTAGGAGTGGGGGCTGGGGATGGGAGGGAGGAGGGGAGTTGGTGCTTGACGGGTGCAGAGGTTTGGTGGCTTAAAGATGATCAAGTTCTGGAGGTAAACGGTGGTGATGATTGCACAGCACAGGGAATGTATTTAATGGCACTGAACTGTATGTCTAAGAACCATTAAGATGGTACATTTCACTTTATGCATGTTTGCAAACACACACACATGAAGAGCAGGCAGCTGGAAAGATGTTTGTGAGGCAGGTGCTGTTGAGGAGGAGACGTTGAAGGCTGTGTCTGCTCTTGTCTGTGACACAGTCCTAGCACTGTGGACAGAGGGATCTTGAGAGCTTGTGTTGAGAAGTGTTGAAAAGGCAGGCAAGGATATCTTATCTGTGCATTTTTGGTAGCAAGCCAGTGTTCTTTAACGAAGTGCTTGTACTCCACACCAGAATGAATATATCATAAAGGAAGAGTAACTAGAATCTCCAATTCTAATGTGTGGCCAATAGTCCTGGGAGTGGGGTATGGACAGGTGATGGCTGGCGTGCCCCAGTACACATAGCACTCCCTCATGGGGTGCAGACCAACCCAGGTTTTCCCACCACTGTGCTAACACACAGTACTATCATCTCATGGATTCAGGGGGATTGTGGCCCAAGGCTAGACTTGCCCCTGTGGGTGTCAGGTCATCTGCTGCACCATCTTATCTCAGGCATTGAGGATCAAAAATGATTCTTGACCGAGAGGGTGTGACATCTACCCTTGCCACGTGGTGGTGTCTTGGGGCTTCCTCAAGTACAGGAGTGAGGCCAGCCCCCAACGCCCCGCCTCTGACGGACCTGGCGGTCAGTGTTGCTGACCGATGTGAGTACAGCTGTCTGTCCTTGTGTCATTGCAGCAGCCAGCTGACCTGGAGGGACGTCCAGCACTTGCTGGTGAAGACGTCCAGGCCGGCCCACCTCAAAGCAAACGACTGGAAGGTGAACGGTGCTGGTCATAAAGGTGCGGCCGAGACTTGGGGGCTGGGCAGGGCCAGGTGCCATCCGGGCAGGGCTTGTGGGGTGACCTCCCAGAGCCTGTATGGGGGAACATGGATTTCTCACACACACACACAAAAAAACCCAGATGACAGTAATTGTGTGTCACAAGAATGAGGAGAGCGAACTTAGTAGTTTAAGGAGAGTACCTATGGTCACTTGTGTATTGGGCTCCCTAAACCTCACAACCTTTGCCACATCAGGGGCCTCAGTACCATTACTGACTTCATGGTTCTCTTTAAATTTTTGCCTTTTTTTTTTTTTTTACACAAAGGAATATATTCTAAAAGAAAACTGCATTACATCTAGTCAGTCATGTGTGTGTGTTAGTAGCTCAGTCGTGTCCCACTCTTTGTGACCTCATGGACTGTACTCCACTGGACTCCTCTGTTCTTGGAATTCTCCAGGCAAGAATACCGGAGTGGATTGTCATTCCCTTTTCCAGGGGATCTTCCCAATCCAGGTATCAAACCCAGGTCTCTTGTATTACAGGCAGATTCTTTACCACCTAAGCCACCAGGGAAGCCCCCCAGTCAGTCATGGCTTGATGCCAATCATAATAAATGAAGTTTGCTTACATGCCACCTGAGGGCAATTTGCACTCTTAGCCCTGAGTAGCTATCCCTAAGTTTCCACATCTGTACAGTGAAGACACTGAGATGGTTATGTGAGTTACTTTATAACTGTAGAACTTCTGTCAGCAAGTCCTTGTGTTTTAAAAGGGCTGTCTGCCATCACAGCTTGGGGCTGACCCAGTACTGTGAGCTCAGCCCGTGGTCAGGCTTGCAGCCAGGTATGTGAGGCCTCTTGAGCAGGTGATGATAGGAGTGTGCTCCTGGGTTTGTCTGTCTTGCTTCTTACCAGAGACACTTGAAAACGATCTACATTCAGCTATGGTATATTAAGGAGAACATTTTCCTTTTTCTTAGGGTCAGATCCAACTATTTTGACACCAAGCCTGACATTCCTCTCTGTAAATTATAGGTCAAGTGTTGTCACCCCAAGTTCCAAGAGACGTTCCTTTAATGAGGAGGTTGACTATACCTGATGCATCCTTGTCTTACAGGGATGTTGGTGGTAGTGGTGTGTTGTAACAAGAGCTGACCTACATTTCAGTTTTGGCCTAATTAGTATGAAAAGGGGTTGTATCTAGCTTTTAACCTTGCCTCCTAACTCTGAAACTCCCCTGCATAGCTAGATTAAACACTGACTCAGGCCAGCCTGTGTGCTGGGCGATGCTGCTTTCCCCAGACGCCCTGGAAATTCCACAGGGAAAGCAAATGGCAAAAGAGAAGAGCGGAGCCTTGTTTGATTGTGTCTACTGAACGTGTGGTTACGTGAGCCACAGCACCTTGGGTCTTGGTTTTCTCGTCTGGTTCAAGACTCAGGGAGCACAGTTCGGTTCAGTCACTCAGTTGTGTCCGACTCTTCGCGACCCATGGACTGCAGCTCTCCAGGCTTCCCTGTCCATCACCAACTCCTGGAGCTTGCTCAAACTCAGGCCCATCAAGTTGGTGATGCCATCCAACCATCTCATCCTCTGTCATCCCCTTCCCATCCTGCCCTCAATCTTTCCCAGCATCAGGGTCTTTTCCAGTGAGTTAGTTCTTCCCATCAGGTGGCCAAAGTATTGGAGTTTCAGCTTCAACATCAGTCCTTCCAATGAATATTCAGGACTGATTTCCTTTAGGATTGGCTGGTTTGATCTCTTTGCAGTCCAAGGGACTCTCTTGGGAGCACAGATGCCAAGAATGCCCTTTAATCTAAAGAAACTGGTTCTCATCTCACAGAAAGAAAGTTCTAGACCATCCCAGCATTTCTTTCACTTTGCCCCCAAACGGGACACATTTTCTGGCCCTCACTCCTGGTCTGAAAGAGTTGTGTCCAGAGAGTAAGGCTGCCGGGCCCCTGGTGCGTCCTTGAACAGGCAGGGGCTGCAGCCGGGGCACTCTGGAGCTAGCTACGGCCCTGCAGCTATGGGGGGACACAGGCAGCCATCCCTGGGCATGGGGGGGCTGGGTCTGAAGGCCCTGTCTTTTCAGTTAGCCACCTCTATGGATTTGGCCTGGTGGATGCAGACGCCCTGGTCGTGGAGGCCAAGAAATGGATGGCGGTGCCCCCACAGCACACCTGTGTTGCCGTCACTGACAAGAGGCCCAGGTGAGCTCAGCTCCTGCACATGCACTGGGCCCTGCTGGCTGGCGTTTGGGGGTTCGGGGGGTGGGGGTAGATGTTCACACGGGCTGTCAATGTCGTTCCCTCTTATCTGTTGCCCCCTCAGCCTGAGCCCCTAACGAGGACTGGAAATTCTTAGCGTGTATTTAGCGGAGCTCCCAGAGGAGGGCACTACCCTGCCATCCAGGATGACGGGCAGCAGTGGCACCTGCCCCAGGGCCCGGGATGGCAGCCCCGCTGCTCCTCTGTTGCAGGCAGGGTCCGGTGTCTAGGGAACACCACAGTGTGTCGCTGTGTTTGGGCTCCGATGACTGGAAGGTTTAAGTGCTGGGGTTTAACCTGCCTAGAGCCGTGTTTCGCAGGGTTCTGGCTTCACCTTCCTGCCAAGGTTGAGCACTGCCCTTTGTGTAAGTTATTCTTAGTCAGTTGCATTTGTTCATTAAAATTTTTGTTTTAAAATTTTCAGCTGTCAAGTAATCAAAATGGCAAGAACCCTGTTCCATTAGGCTCAAATGTTTCTCCTGAATTCTACTGTTGCCGCTGTCCCTTTTACCCTTTTTTAGAGTGTGTGTCTCTAGATCTTAAAATCTGATGAAGAATGGAAGAATGAGATGCATTCCTTTCTAGCATTGATAACCTTCGGAAAATGTGTGTTTTTTAAAAAAATGGTGAGGTGATTGAAAGTGGTTCTTGCTTTATCAACAAATACAGATCACTCTCTGAGGTCGCCTTTTCCTTGAAGGCATCCATTTATAATATGCCCTTTTGCGATAAAATTTTCAGATAAGTACTTTTTGTTGATGCCTTGTGTGCAGTAGGAATTCAGAAAGTATTTGTTGGATGAATACCACAGTGGGAGCTTTGAAAAAATTACATTTCCCTCCTGATGCTGATGGTGAAGACTGACTGCCAGCTCATCCCTCCAGGCCTGACCAGCTGGTCGGCCAGCAGATAGGTCTCACTTTTGACCCTGGAAGGCATTGCTTTCTCTGGGGAGCCTTAGACTGTCTGATTCAGAAGAAAGTAGAAGGTTCCCTGAGCCTGAGGAGGCCTGTTGCGTTCTTCTGCATGGTTGGTTGGAAGATGCCTGACTCACAGGTCCTCAGGCTCCAGGTTACGTGACGCTGGCCTGGGGCCGCGTCCGGGCTGCAGCCCTTCCCTCCCGCCGGCCTCCCCGTCGGGCGGCTCCTGAATGAAGCATTCTTCTCCTGCCAGAAATAGTTTTAAGATGGGAGAGTGGTGCCTCGGTGGCGCAGGGTTGTTTTTATTTTTATTTTATTTTGTTTTTTAAGTGCTGGCCCATGGAGTCTAGACAGCACGGGTGGAGGGGCGCAGCCGTCACACACAGTGTGACATTGTTTCTGTCCTTTGAGGAGAGAAAGCCCACATACTCCAGCAGACAGGAGAATCACACGTCTGTCTCTAAGGGAAAATCGTCTTTGCATTCAGCAGCCTTAGCCTCGCAGGACTAGTCAGCCAACCAGCTGTCCCACACCACAGACTCAGCTGCAGGTTCGGTTGTCCCCAGGGACGTGAGGGCCAGGACACGGACACACCGGGCCAGCAGCCAGGTGCTCCGCATGGAATCACATGCCTGCTTTGGCCTGTGGTCACAGCCTGCCTGCCGGGGTCACTTGAGCTAGGGCGCTTGGCGCCCCCAGTGCTCATGGCCGGTTCCCTTCATCAGGTTCTTGTGTAGCTTTGACTAAGCTGCTCAGATGGTTTGGCTTAAAGATGAAAAGGAAGTCTTCCCACACACCGGCTTCTCCCCTGCCTCTCCTTGCTCCCTCTCCACGGATGCTTCTTGGTCCAGGGGTCCCCCAGGATGGCTGTTCATTCTCTCAGCCTCTTTCTGGTTTCTCCTTCTCATGGTGGAATCCAGGAATGCTGTGAGTGTCCTAGACCCAGCTTTAGTGCTTCCTGTGGAGAGCAGAGAGAGAGGAGAGAGAAGAGAGAGACAGAGAGAAAAGGAGAGGGAGACAGGGAAGGAGAGAGAGACAGCGAGGGGGAAGAGGGGGCCTCCTTGGGCATCTTGTGCAGACCTTTGTACCCACATGGGACTCGTTTCCCTGCCCTCCCTCCTGAGTAGAAGGACAAATCCACCCCAGTGTGAACTTCAGAGAACCGTGTTCACTGGGATTAAGTGCAGGTGTCCTGGCAAGTCTGCAGTGATGTTGGTGAGGTCGTGTAGGGTTGTGGTCCAGAGGCTTGGGTGTCCCTGGTCACGTGCAGGGCAGGAATGAAGAGTACCAACACCTCTCCACCCTCGTCCACCCCTCAGTCCTCCCTGGGGTATGTCCTGTCCAGGGACATGGTCCCCCTGACAGTGAGCAGAGGAGTCCCGGGACTGCCCTCTCTGCAGATCCAGCCTGTGCTCGGACATGGGTGTCATGCCCCCTGTGCCCTGGAGGACTGCTTAGGCCCCGCTGGTGTCCCTCTGCTGGCGGGCTCTGTCCAGCACCACCCCGAACCTGAGTCAGGCTCAGGCCAGAGGAGCAGAGGGCCAGCAGCACAGCAGAGAGGTGGTGATGGGGGCAGGGGGCAGGCTGCCATCAGGGAATGTCGGGGGAGCTGTCAGTCATTCTCTGAAGAAAGGCCATGCTGACCCCCTTGTCTGGATGCTGTGCATCCAAGATCTGGCAGTGGGGGCGCAGCAGCCTGTGTCTGTCGTCATCCCTGAAGTTCATGGAGTAGGCCGTGGAGCCACCAGGAGAGGCTGGGAGAGAAGCCCCCTTGGGAGTGGGGTGGTGAGGAAGAAGAGGAGCCAGGCCTCCCCTGCTCCCCAGGGGCCGGCCCTGCCCACACCCCTCAGGGGCAAGCCCTTCCCCCACTCCTGTTCCCAAACACTGATCTCCAGATCTCCCTGGGCCACCTGATTATAGCCTTCACCCACCCCCACCCTGGAGCAGCCCCCGGCACCCACAGAACAGGCATAAGGGCCAAGCATGGCCAGGCGGCTGTCAGCGAGTATGGAGTCTTGGCCCAGCAGGAGGGCAAGTCCCTTGACCTCACTGGGCACATTCATGTTTGAGAATGACTTGTACAGGCCATACAGGTGACACCGTGGAAACACAAGTGGAGGCCCAGCCTCTGTTGTAACCTGCAGGCACACGAGGATGGCATTCTTGACTGGTCTTGGGTACAAACGGTTTAAACCTCCTTAGATGTTTCTGTCAATTAATGGAAAGTAAATAGGGTCATGACCAGTGCCATCTGCCTGTGCAAAATTATTTTAAAGTCTAGGGGTGTCAGAAAAGGGTGAAATGACACTTTTATAACCTTTCTAAAAGTGAAAATCAACTTTAGTATAATTCCCATGAATGAAAAAGAGTCCCAGCTTTTAAGAATCTTATCTGACCCATAGGATTTTCTAGCTAGCATGGCCCTACATCTTTAAAGACCCAGTTACAGCTGGACAGTTGATGACATCTGTGCCTCCCAACTCCATGCTGAAGGACAGCCAGGCTCTTCTAAAGCAAGAGGAATTGACCTGCTCATCTTTGGTTTCAGCAGGTTTGGAAGGTTACCATCCAGACGGTGTGTAGGTTAGTGTGGCTTGTCTTTTATTGAAGAACTCACCCACTGTGCAAAGATACTTCAAAACTAAAAGCTTTGACTCAGGGTTATCTCCAAAACAGAACATCTATTTCTAGATGTTCAAGAATTAACTGAGCATTAACCACATGCTGTTTACTCTTCTGGCATCTTGTTAAACCAGACCACATGTGATGGTCTTTTTATAACAGCTCTGCTTATAAATATGTAGTGGGTCGATGGGTGATGATTATCAGGCGCTTACTGTGTGCCAGCCTTTGTTCTAAGCACTGTGTGGATGGATTCACTCATCCAAAACCCCCAACACGGGTGTGAGGTTTGGAAATTATTATTATTTTTTTTAATTTGGCTGTGCTGAGTCCTCATTGCTGCTCAGGCTTTTGTCTAGTTGGTACACAGGCTTCTCATTGCAGTGGCTTCTCTTGTTGCAGAACACGGGCTCCAGAGCACAAGCTCCTTAGTTGTGGTGCACGGGGTTAGTTGCTCCACAGCTTGTGGGATCTTCCCAGATCAGTGTTGAACTCGTGCTCCCTGCAGTAGAAGCACGGAGTCTTAACCAATGGAATGCCAGGGAAGTCCAGTGCTCCCTGCTTCTGAGATGAGTATTGGAGCTTGGATGATACAGTTGTCCTCGTTGTTCTAGGAAGTCACCATAGTTGTGTTCTAGGAAGTCACCATAGACACTGGAGAGATACAGGCGGGGTTTCCAGGGGTTCTGAAATACTCTGGGCCAGGATGAAAGTCTGGGCTTGAAACTAAGCTGGAGGGGTCTTCCAGGTGGGAGTGCAAAGTGGGGCAGACCTGGGAGATGTTATGGGTTCAGTTCCAGGTCACTGCAATAAAACAAGTCATATGAACTTTTTGGTTTCCTGATGCATACAGAAGTTACATTTCTAATATACTGTAGTCTGTTGTGTACAATAGCACTGTGTCTAAGAGGATAATGTACCTACCTTAGTAAGAAGTACTTTACTGCTAAAAAGAAAAAAAAAAGAAAGACTTTTACTGCTAAAAAAGAAAAAGACTCACCATCATCTGAGCCTTCAGTGAGTCGTAATCTTTTTACAACAGTACATCAACATCCCCAGAACTTTATTAAATGTGTGAAACCTTCAAAGTTCATTGAAGAGTTTGAAATATTATGACAGTTGCCAAAATGTGACAGAGATACATGAAGTGACCAAATGCTTTTGGAAAAGTGTTGCCGACAGACTTGGCTGCCACGGGGTTACCACAGACAATTTGTAAAGCACAGCAGTGGAGGGAGGTCCCTGTGCTGACTGCCATGGCCTCCCAGCTTGAGCAGAGCGGAGGGGGCAGGGGGTACCCCTGCTGCTGCCCGGCTTCTCCTGCTTTTCCCCAACACTTGGTTTACTCGAAAACAGTTCTGCCTCTGGTTCTGAACGTCACTTGGACACCCTAAGATTATAAGCACCATGACTAGGTGAGTGCCTTGAATTTAGTAAATTGGGAACTTGTCTCGACAGATATACGAGCAATTAGATGGTGTCATGTACCAGAAAAAGCTGAATGCAAGATCTCGGAAGTGATTATGAGCCTTCGGGCTCGTCGCCCTTCCCCACCTTCCCTGAGCGGGGAGCTGCTGAGGGGCGTAGGATGAAGGAACACCTGGAGGGTCCATCTTTGAGTCTGGCACAGTTCAGCAGGAAGGGACACATCTCTGTCCCCAGAGCCCTTTTCCAGGAGGGCAGCCCTCACAGCTTGAATATCACTGGGTCTGAAGGGACCTCTTAAGTCCTCAGGCTCCCTGGGGTCCTGGAGAGATGACTTTGTGCACAGATGACAGTTTCAGAGTTTAGTAGCAGAAGAATGTTCTCAGTTATCTTGGGAGTTTTATGATCTCTCTAGATCAGCTTTTGTGATTAACGTGCAGCTTACCTGCGTTTGTGTTTCTGTGCATGATTTAACTGAAACCCTGCAGCTTCTGTGCTCAGCCTGGCCAGTCTGTGTGCCCTCAGAGAGGGCTGGCATCTGGAGCCCCTGAGAGGCTCTGCCAAACTCAGTGAGGACGCCACACATGTTCCCTAAAATGCGCTTTCCTCTTGGGGCATCAGCTGCAAGGCCAGGCTGGGGAGGCAGCTGTGGGGGGTGTGGGGGTCTTCACTCCTGTTCCTGTATCCTGAGGTCAGGCCCTTCACCACTGGTAGTGGGGTTTCCTGGGTGGGATGCATTTCTAGAGCAGGGTGATTGCTCCCCATCCCAGCTGGCAGATGGTTGAGGGTGGGAGTTGGTTGTGACTTTGTGTCTGTTTCACCCCCGTCTTGTTTTTCAGCTGAGGAGAGTATAGGGTTGCTTTGTGAGTCTTCACAGGGGAGTGTCCATCACCCCCTTCCCCAGCACCCACATTGCCTCCTCAATTCAGGAGGTGGGAATAGTTTACCTGGAGATGAGTGAACGCCCGTGGGGCTGGGCAGGGCTGCTGACCACTAAACACTGACAGTAAAACCTGGGAGAAGCACTGGGAGAAGTAAGCATCTCTTAGTCAGTTTACGACATATACAAGTCATGTTTTCAAATATTTAGAGAGCCTCTGGGGAAATTGCATCACTGTTTATAAGTGTTTTGATTGTTTTTTATGACTCAGGCCCTGTCGAGCCAAGTGATTTAATTCCGGAGACACTGAGCCCACACGGGAGCTCCCTCTGGGGGGAAGCCCCCTCCCCAGAGGGAAGTCGGGCATAGTGGAAACAGCGCTCCCCGCGGTAAACTGAGTGCTGGCCCAGCGTCGCAGAGTTGCTCCTGCGCTGCTGGGCAGAGGGTGGCCTTTCTTAAGCTCACAGGCCGTCAGGGTGAGCTGTGCAGGTGCAGCATTGGTGGGTGGCCTGGCCCGGCTCTGCAGCAGTGTCAGGGGAAGGCTTGTCTGCTCCATCTGGGGAGTGGGTGAGAAAACCCTGGAGGAGCTGAGCCCTGAGGGATCGGGGTATGGTGCCTATGCCCAGAATCCACCCCAGATGGTAAACTCCCCTGGGTTTGTTCAGAGAACAAACTTCCTTTATGGGGTGGAGGAGGGAGGGCCAGCCTTCCAGCAGGAATGTCCAGAGCAGACTTCCCGTCCAGCCTCCGTGAAGAGTCCTCTGGGCCAGTCACCATGGCCTCCACCAGTGACCCCAGGTCCCTTGTCCCTCTCCTACTTCCTGGCTTCTTGAACATGACTGTGGGTCCATGCAGACGTCTGTGTAGGACAGGGTGGCTCAGGTAGACGCAGGGGACTCAGAGCCTCACAGGTGTCCATGTGTCTCAGCTCTGCCCCTCCATAGCTCTGTGACCTCTCTGGGTTAAATGGGTCGGTCCTTGTCAGTATTCAGACCAGGGGCCATTGCCTGGCATGTAGTCAGCTTAGGAAGTGTTTGCTGTTGTTAGCATTCAGCATCATGACCTGTATTTTCAAGGCCAGTCTTCGAGACAGAGCGGTGGGGTTTTAAAGCCTCTCATACCCCAGGCTGCTCAGGAGACTAGCCTCCACACTGCGGGCACCGAATTCTGGGTGTGCAGGCTGAGTCTGCACAGGAAGACACTCTATAAGTCTCTCTGAGCAAATCCCAGAATGATCAACCCTTTTAGGGCAGGTGATGTGACTCTGACAGGCATGTCTAAGAGGGGGACACAAGGGGCTTTGGCCAGGAGGCCTGTCCTATCCCCTGGTGCACAACTTAGGGGTTTGGAGCCGCACACTAAGCCCTCCCTGGATCCCTGGCAGAAGCATCCCGGTGGTGCAGACGCTGTGGACCAGCGCCCTGACCACTGCCTGCGCCGACCACACAGACCAGCACGTGGGCTTCCTGGAGCACGTGGTGGCCCGCGTTTCCATCTCCCATCCGCGCCGTGGGGACCTGCAGATCCACCTGACATCCCCCTCTGGGACCAGGTCTCAGCTGCTGGCGAAGAGGTGAGTCCAGGTGGGCAGGGGCTGGGGCGCTAGGGGATGGGGTCCAGAGAGGGTGGCTGGGCGAGGGGTAGGTAGGGGCTGAGTGCAGTTCAGTGTCGCAGGGCTCTGCAAGGCGCCAGCATGTTGGGGGCTCTGGAGACACACACACACCACCCCCCAAACCTGAGAAATAGCCTCCTGCAGCCTAGCCTTCAGACCCATCCAGAACCTTTTCCACTTTTGGCTGCAGGCAGTGAGAGGCTTTGGCTGTTTGGTGGAGAGATGCGTGTCCCTGCTGGGCTCCCCCTCGTAGCACAAGGGTGACAGTGGTGTCTCCCCTCTGGAGGGGGCCCCGGCCACCTTCTGCACTTGGGGACCGTTGTGGGCACAAGCATTTGAGGATGCCAGCTGGCAAGCTGCAGCTTTGTGCTTATTTTGCAACCAGAGTTGTTGTTAGAACTTTTAGAGGTTTCCTTTAAAAATCCACAAGTCTAGTCTTCTTGAGAAATTGGAAGCTGTCCATTAGCAGGCTTGTATTCCATGGGCAGCCACTCACTAGAGCCCCCAGGGCCTGTCCCTGCACCAGCTGAGGCCGGGCGGGGCTGCTCATGTCCCGGCCGTCGCCCGGCCCTCTTGAGGTCACCTCTCAGGCATGGACTGTGGGACCCAGAGACCGGAGCTTGCAGCCTGCTCCTCCATGGGCCAGCAGGCCCAGGGGGCTGCCACTACTCCTTGGCTCTGGAGGCGTTCTGAGGTTCCTGCATCTCAGCTGGCAGAGTTACAAGGACTAGATGTGATGACCCAATGGAAGTGCTGGCTCAGACTCTGTTCTCCTCCCCTCCTGACTCCCACTCCTTGCTCAGGCCGAGGGTGGGAGCTCTGGGATGAGAGGGCTATGAACCTGGGCTCACCTGGTTCCTAGCTGCCCAAGCCTTGGGTCACACTGAGCCCAGGCCGTCATCTGAGTCTTGGGAGTTGGGTCTTTCCAGGGAAGGCTGTGGGATTACAGCAGGGGTCTCTGTTTCAGGATCCAGTCAGTTTTTGACCTCTCAGCTAAGATCAAGTGTGGGATCGATCACCTTCTACTTTATTTTTGATCTTGCTTAATTCAGCGGCTTTTTCGGGTTTCTAGGTTTCTTTTTGTTTCGAGTAAGCAGATATCTTAAGTCCCTGGTCCCAGAAAGAGCTTGTCTTTATTCTACATTCATCGGGTGTCATATGTGAAGATCAGCCTTGACCTTGATGGTTTTTTAGAAGAAAGTATCAGTTTTCCCCTCCCCACACTGTTTGTGTAGAGCTTGCTCCCTGTGTAAACATTTCTGCATGGTGGAGGTTTAGAGAATCCACAACTGGGAATTGAGTCTGACATTACATGAAACATCTGAGTTTCTGATGAACAGTAAAGGGCCCCTACACAGTAGAGGTAGAGATAGACTGGTTGTGAAGGAAGAGTGAGATGAGGAGCCTAGAAACCTTTCTTCTCGGGTCTGAGGGCTGGAGATAGAGGGCGCCCGTGAGCTGCTCCCTGTTTCTGCCTGAAGCAAGCTTGAGAAAGTGGACCCAGGCCGGAGGTCCAGCAGGAAGGCCCGATGGGGTCGTGCACCTGTGGGGACCTGGAGGGGTGAGGCCAGTGCTCAAGGGTGTCTTCTCTCCCCACGTGCACCTGTGGGGACTCGGGAGTGAGAACAGTGCTCAGGGTGTCTCCTCTCCTCACGTGCACCTGTGAGGATCTGGAGGTGGAGACAGTGCTCAGAGGTATCTCCTCTCTTCATGTGCACCTGAGGGGTCCTCCTAAGCCCTGGGGCCCAAGCGAGGGTATGTTCTCCACGGGGCTGGGCAGTGGTTCATATTCCTCATTCCTATCTTCTGGAGAACAATGCTACTCTCAGACAAGGTGAGCGTTTCCTTCACTCCACAAGTTGGCATTCGGAAGGGCCTTCTCCATAACACCCTTGCGGCTTTGCAGGAAGGAATGGTGTGGCTCCACTGCCATCACTTTCCAGTGTCCAGGAACTGGGGTCACAGCTCTGTGGAACTCTCCTGGGGTGGAGCATGGGGGTGCTTGTTAGTGATGGAGAGAAGCCAGGACAGGAGAGGGCGTTTCAGCCCTGCCAGTCACTGGAGGGGGCCTTGCAGCAGATTCTTGGGCCTGGAGTCGTGTGAGAGCTAGGGTGGGGGAGGAGCCCACCACTGGTGGAGCCCCATCTCATGCTGGGCACCACCAGTGCCACTTGGCTGCCTTCCTCAGTGAGCGCTTGGGGACCCACCAAGGTTGAGGGTGTAGGCACCTTGCAGGGTGGTGCTGCACAGCCAGGGTCCACCCACAATCCCTTCTGGGCCCCTCTGGACTGACCCCACGACTCTGATTGCAGATTGCTGGATCATTCCAACGAAGGCTTTACAAACTGGGAGTTCATGACCGTGCACTGCTGGGGAGAGAAGGCCGAGGGGGAATGGACGCTGGAAATCCAAGACATGCCGTCCCAGGTCCGCAACCGGGAGAAGCAAGGTCAGTGGCTCCTGGGATGGTCCCAGCACCTCCTGTGTTTCAGCCCTGTAGTTAACCCTAGACTTGACTCAACCACAGTACCTCAACCACTCTTTGCTTTTTCTTTGAGGTAAAGTTTACATAATATAAATTTCACTGCTTTAATCGTTTTTAAGTGTACAGTTTAATGGCTTTCAGTACATTCACGGTATTGTGCAGCCATCACACCATCTAATTCCAGAACTTGGTCATCATCCCAGTGGGGAGTCCCTACATGTTCAACAGTCACCCCACTCCCCACCCCTCACAACCCTAGCAGCTCCTAACCTATGTACTATTTCTGGACTTGCCACTTTTGAACATTTCTTATAAAGGGAATCACAGTGTTTGTGACCTTTTCTCACTGGCTTCTTCTGTGTAGCATCATGTTTCAGGGTTCATCAGTATTATAGCCAGTGTCAACACTTCATTCCTTATTACGACTAACTACTCTCCCATTGTATTGATTATTCATTTTGCTTATTCATTCATCACTTGATGGACAACTGGGGTTTTTTTCTCTCTTCATAACTACTAATATTATGAATATCCATGTACAAGTTTTTGTGTGGACATGTGTTTTTAGTTCTCTGGACTGTGTACCTAGGAGTGGGATTCCTGGGCCATATGGTAAATCTGTATTTAACTTTTTGAGGAATTGCTGGGAAATTTGACAGTGGTCAGACAGTTCCTGTCATCAAGATAGGAGGATTTTAAGTTCTCTACCAGCACTCTCTTTTGTTATAACAATCCTAGTGGATGAAAAGTGGTGTCTCACTGTGGTTTTGATTTGCATTTCCTTAATGATTAGTGATGTAGTGCATGTTTTCATGTGTTTATTGACCACTTTATCCCTTCTTTGGGGAAATGTCTGTTCAAGTCATTTGTCCACCTTTAAACTGGCTTGTTTGTCTTCTATCATCAAGTTAGAGGATATTTTGGACACTAGACCCTTACCAAACAATGCCATTTGCAAACCTTTTCACCCAGTATGTGGGTTGTTTACTTTATTAATAGTGCCCTTTGATGCAGCCATTTTTTGTTTTGAGGAAATTCAATTTATTTTTTCTAGTTTTGCTTCAGTTTTAACATCATGTTGAAACCATTGCCTAACCTGAGGTAACAAAGCTTGAAAACTGTTTTCTTCCAGGAGTTTTATAGTTTTAGCTCCTTGGTTTAGGACTTGGGTCTGGTTTTAATCACTTTTTGTGTATAGTGTGAGGTGAGAGTCCAAGTTCCTTCTTTTGTGTATGGAGGTCCTGTTGTCCCAGCACCATTTTTTGGAAAGACTGTCCTTCCCCAGAGCAGTGTAAACACCTGCCTTCTAGCTCTGGACTTGTCTGACCTGCTGGACTTGGGGAACGGGGACACCCCCTTCAGTGTCTAGAGCGTCTGCCCAACCCTGCAGTGGCCCCTGGGGCGGGTTCGTATGTGTGAGCTCCACCTGTAGAGACACCACTCTTGAGGTGGCCTTTGTGGGAACAAGGTGTCCAGTGAGTGTCAACAAGCCTCACGCCCTGCTCCCCGTGCAGGGCAGGAACAGGCCCCCAGTCTCGGCTGTCCGGGTGGAGCCAGCGTTGGTTCCGTTGGCTCTCTGCACATAAAGGGGCCAGGAGGGGAAGAGTGAGGGCCAGGTCCTGAACCATGCAGGTCAGCGTGGTGGGGCCCCAGACAGTGACCTGGGACGACCAGGGGTTCCCCCGATGCTGACCCCAAAGCCCAGGAGAAACTCGGGCCTGTGAGCCACCTCGACAATGTGGTCAGTGCTGGGCATGCCATTCCCTCACTGGTCATCAGGTCAGGGTGGCCCCTGGGCACCAGGTCTCCATTGGCCTCAGGGCCAGGAATACAGCAGCAACACAGAGCCACCACCCTCAGAAAATGTGGCCAGTCCTTCCTCTGCCATGATCTCTAGAACCAGTGCGTGGGGCACCAGACTGCGGATCAGTACTGTGCATTTCAGTCCCCTCCATTCTCTGCATCTTAATTGCTTAAGAAAGAAAACAACCAACTCACTTCAGGGGTGCACTGGATGACAGCACTCCACGAGTGGGACTAGACCTGGGGCTAGCTGAGTAACTGAGTCCTCGAATGACTCCCTCCCTCCAACAGTGCTCGCCTCCTGTCATTCTCAGCCTGGTTTGTGTCATGTTTTAAAACTTTTTTTCGTTCACCTGAGGAGGAGATTGTTTTCCTTCTTAGTTCCTCACTTCCTCCGCAGGCCAGGTTAGGAGTGCAATCGAGTATAAACTCCGGTCACAGCTGGGTTGCCTCTGCCCTTGGCATTTCAGTTGATCCCTGTTCAGCACACCCTTATCAGTCCTGACCCAGAGGTTTCATTATCCCTATGGCCAGTCTTCACCTATCTGGCTTTAGGATGTTTATGGTTGGGTTTTTTGCTTTTAAGTATTGCAATTAGGAGATATAAATCAAATGAAATAATGAAGGCTAACAGGTGTCTGGAACCTGGAGCTTCACTGTGCACCAGGGTCAGGGCTCCTCCCTTCTCCCTGGCCTGAGGCTCCAGGGGCACTTGACTGCTGAGACCTCACTGTGACCCACGGGTGTGGACGTGGCCCTATATTTTTTTAACTCACCAGAGCTCTTGAAACACAATAGGCACTTAGAATAGATGGTTATCAATCTTTAAGAGTTTTTGTATATACTCTCTGCCTGGCTTCAGTATCATTAATTAATCCATTCTTAACAAATCTACCATTTTAACACACTCCCAGCAAATATCACCTTGAAACTAAGGGATGGAGAGTTGCTCGACTGAATGATCATGAAGTTTTCTGAAAGAGTATACTAGGGAAAAATATTCTGAAAGAATTAAATGCAGATATTTAAACATATTTTCAAATTATAATAATTAAAAAGCTGTGGCACTCGTTATTAGATAAATACAAATCAAAACTACACTGAGCTATCACCTCACACAGTCAGGATGGCCGTCATCAAAAAATTGACAATAAATGCTGGAGAGGAGGTAGAAAGAAGAGAACCCTCCTGCACAGTTGGTGGGAATGTGAATTGATACAACCACTATGAAGAACAGTATGGAGATTTCTTAAGAAACTAGGAATAAAACTACCATATGATGGAGCAATCCCACTGCTGGGCATACACCCTAAGAAAATCATAGTCAAAAAAGACATATGTACTCCAGTGTTCATTGCAGTGTTATTTACAATAGCTAGGACATGGAAGTAATCTACATGTCTATCGACAGATGGATGGATAAATTAGCTGTGGTACATATACACAGTGAAATATTACTCATCCATAAAAAGGAATGCCTTTGAGTCAGTTCTAATGAGATAGATGAACCTTGAGCCTGTTAAACAGAGTGAAGATAAATAAATATCATATATTAATGCGTATGTGTGGAATCTAAAAGGTACTGATGAACCTGTTTGCAGGCCAGCAATAGAGATGCAGACAGAGAGCAGACTTGTGGACGCAAGAGAGGAAGGAGTGGGAGGGACAAATTGAGAGAGTAGGATTGAAGCATATACACTACCGTATGTAAAACAGATAGCCAGTGGGAAGCTGCTGTGTATAGCATAGGGAGCTCAGCCCAGTGCTCTGTGATGACCTAGAGGGGTGGAAGGTGGGAGGGCACTTCAGGAGGGAGGGGACATGGGTACACTTATGACTGATTCATGTTGCTGTATGGCAGAAGCCAACACAGTATTGTAAAGCAGTTATCCTCCAATTAAAAATTAAATTTTTAAAAAACTGTGCCAAAATAGACAGATGAGGCAAGGGGACCACAGCTGAGCCATGCGTACACACTGAGTGCAGTGTTTTTAACTGGTGGGGCAAAAACAAAGTGTTGGATAAAAGCTATTGACTGTTGGTGCACCATTTGGAAAGGAAATAATTATCTTGGTGGATTTATACACATACAAGTAGAAACTTCTGTTTGGCAAAAAATACCATAATATTAAAATTAGAAAAATATTTACAAAATATTTTGGACAAACTCGAGTCATTCACAGATGGCCTTTTTCACTTGTCTGTAGCCCAAGGACTGCACACTGTTTCTGTGAGGGGCTTTCTGGTCTCTGTGCCAGCAACTCATTTCTGCCATTTGTGTGCAAAAACAGGCGCAGGAAATACACAAATGAAGACTGTACTTGTCCTAACAACTTTACAGAAACAGGAGGTGGGATATACTGCCTGCCTTGTTCTTTTTTCTCAGGATGCTTTGGTTGTTCTGGGTCTTCCCCAGTTTCATATAAATTTTAGGATTATTTGTTCTAGTTCTGTGAAAAATATCATGGGTAATTTGATAGGGATCACATTAAATTTGTAGATTGCTTTGGGTAGCATGGCCATTTTAACGTTGTTAATTCTTCCAATCCAAGAGCATGGGATATCTTTCCATTTCTTTGAATCGTCTTCCATTTCCTTTATTAATGTTTATAGTTCTCAGCGTGTAATTCCTTCACCTTCTTGATCAGGTTTAGTCCCAAGTATTTTATTTTTTGATGTGATTTTGAAAGGGGTTGTTTTATTTTTACATTTCCTTTCAATATTTCATTGTTAGTGTAAAGAAATGCAACCTATTTCTGTACACTAACACTGCATTCTGCTACCTCGCTGAACCTGTTTATCAGTTCTGATAGTTCTTGGGTTTACTAAACTGAACCTTCAGGGTTTTGTATAGATAGTTCCATGTCATCTGCATGTAATGGCAGATTTACCTCTTTATGTCAAGGACTTGCTGTGAGAATAAGCATACTTTAAGGGGGGGTGCATTCAATTACAACTAGGACTCAGACTGTACAAACTGCTCTGCCTACCCACCCGCACCCCAATTCCTTGTTATTCCAGTAGCCAGCTCCTCTGAGCAGAGCTTTGACTTCTGCCCCAAGGGCCAGACTTCACACTCAGGAGCTCTTATTTCATTAGTTCATTTCTTTACTTCTCCACTTGGAGGAGTAAAAGTCTAATCACCATTGATTTAATTGCTT